TGTGGTAGGAACTAAAATAATTTTATAGTTGGAGTCACCACAACATGAGAAACATTATCTAAGAGAAGATTAAGATGGTTGAGAAAATTATTCTTGTAATGGTCTGTTCTATCCCTTTAAGAGACAAGCCATGCCCACTCCTTCCCCTGTCTGCCAAGGCAAGCTGATCTTCAGTTTTCAGCTCCAGTCTCTTCTTTTTCATCTCTTAAAGAGGCAGCTTTTGTCTTTCCCTTTTCTCCCTCCTCTCCCTCTCCCCCTCCTCCCTCTCCCTCTTCCTCTCCTTCTCTCTCTCTCTCTCTCTCTCTCTCTCCTCTTCTCTCCTTCTCTCTTTTCCCTCCATAACCCACTAAATAAATATCCAACCTCACTCTGCATGGCATATCTATCCATCTCTGTTTCTCACCCTCTGGGGCTGCAGTTCCCTGTCTGTGACTCATTGCCCCTCGTAGCCCACTGCAGCCTCTTGGGCAACAGTGCCATCACTGCCTGACACTGGCTGCTCTCGGGACCCACTGCCTGATGCCTGCCACTGCTCAGGGACCTGTGACTTGGTTCCATGGCCCGCTGCCTACTGCTGTTGCTTGAGGGCCTGCAGTGTTTCCTCTGCTGTGTCCCCTTAGGAAACTTGTATTATTTTTACTTAAATCATAACAAAACTGCCTTAGATCACACCGCTCCTTTATCTCTCTTTTAAGAGCCTGTGTTTTAAGGACTTTATTATGAGAATGAAGGGTTTTTATCTCAGAAGAAGCTGATACACATTATCCACTTCTGGGCATGAGCTCCAAGTACTTGCCATCTTACCAATGAACACTTGCCCATCATGTTTTGTAGTGCTATTTCATTTATATTCTTTTTGTGCTTTGTTTTGTTTTTGAGAGAGGGTTTTTCTGTGTAACATCCCTACCTGTCCTGGATCTAACTCCTGGAGGACAGGTTGGCCTCAAACCCCCAGAAACCTGCCTGTCTCTGCCTCCCAAGTGCTGGGATTAAATGTGTGCCTCCACCACCCAGCTCATTTGTATTTTAATAAATAAAGCTTATCTGAAGTTCAGAGAGTAAAACAGCCACATTGATCAGCCTTACAGACAAGGCAGTGATGACACATACCTTTAGTCTCAGTAGCCACATTAGTTTGCCATAGAAAGTGGCCACCTTTATTCCCAACCCTGGAAAGGAATAAAAATAGGAAGAGATAGCTCTCACTCACAATCTCATGCTGAGATTCCTGTAGGAGGATTGCAATGTTGGACTGAAATAGATGAAAGAGGTCAGTGACTGGCTAGTTTGCTCTCTAAACTTAAAGCAAGCTTTATTTATTAAAATACAAATGAAATATCACTACAGTGTTCATTGCTGCCTTATTGACAACATCTCTGAAACAGAATCAAGTTAGATGTCCATCACCTGACACATGGTTAAATGAAAATGTATGCCTTAGCTTCAAATTTGTTGTTTTTCCATTTCATGTAAGATTATATGTACAAGTCAGAAAGCCATCAATGGACCAGTAGTGGAGACATGCAAGAAGATGGCATGGATAGTAGAATAAAGGTGATATGAAGTTAGAGTGCAATTCTGGGGGCAGAATGGCTCAAGTAAGTAGTTAATTGATGAGGAGAGCGGGCTGCAGAATGGTCAATTTAAATGAGATTGCCATGAAGAAGCTACATAGGAACCTCCATTTTGAAACCAAGTTTAAAAAATATGAGAGGATAGTTATAATAGAATATAGTAGAACACAAATGATTGTTGGGGTCTGAGAGTCTGAAACAATGCAAGCAGGTACAACAGTTCACATAAAGCAAAATCTTTATTGAATTGAATAGCAAAAAGTTTTGGTCAAGGAGAAAAGTACAGACTCTGGAGCTTAGTGTGTTCTTGAACTTTCATTCAGAAAGTATTTAAACCCTCCAAACCACAACATCTGTGCAAGTCACAGTTACAGGTTACACCCACAAGGTCATAGAGATTCTATGTGGGAGTGATTTCTTACTAATAAAGAAACTGTCTAAACCCATTTGATAGGCCAACCCTTAGGTAGATGGGGTAACAGAACAGAATGCTGGGAGAAAGAAGCTGAGTCAAGGAGTCGCCATGGTTCTCCCACTCCAGACAGATGCAGGTTAAGATCTTTCCTGGTAAGCCAGCTCGTGGGCTACAAAGATTAATAGAAATGGGTTAGATCAATATGTAAGAGCTAGCCAATAAGAAACTGAAACTAATGGGTCAGGCAGTGTTTAAAAGAATACAGTTTCCATGTAATTATTTCGGGTAAAGTAGCCGTGCGGGCGGCCAGATGCCGGGGATGCAGCCCGATGCTCTTACTACAACAGAGATTAGTGGTTTTCCCTATGTGCTTCATCATGATCAATGGACACAGAATGTAAGCTTTTCAGTCCAACCTATCAGATTCATTGGTTCTTTGTATTGTTAGAAGCAACCTCAACATTTTAGAGAACAAAAGATGTGTAAGCGATGATTTCTATGGTTTAAGGAGGAGATATGTCAGCTATTGGAAAGTCCTAGCTCCTTTAGGGCTTGGGCAGTTGAACTTTTTTTTCACCCTACAGGTAAAAGAGATCCTGAATTCAAAATGTCAGTACTTAGTACAGGTACTTTTACCTGTTCCCAACAATATAATATAATGGGGAATTGGATAATGTGTGCAAAAACTTTAATTTGGGATGGGGCAGGAATACAGAAGGAAGAGTGGGAGGATGTGGTTGTTTTAACAGAAATGGTCCCCATAGATTCATGTTTTGAATACTTGACTATAGGGAGTGGCACTATTAGGAGATACATTTAAGTCAGAATTAAGCTTGTGCATATATGCTTAGTAACACTGTGCTATAAATGAATGGGACATTGGATAATGTGTGCTAGATATTAAACTGGGGATGGGGTAGGAATAAGTGAAGAAGAGTAAGGGGGTTAACCAAAAGGAAGGATGTATGAAGAAGCCTCTTGAAATCCCACTGTCTTACAGGTTAATAGTAAATATGATTTTAAAACTTTGAACAGAGGTGTCCCACATGTGTGAATAATTCTGCTTCCAGACGCCAGGGCTACTAAATGAAACTCCTTGTTCCAGATACTCCTTATCTGCCTAGGAATTCCTGGTCAGGGAGGCCTGAGAGACATCTGGAACAAAGCAGCGGCCAGTGTTCTTGCTTTGGCACCCTAAGAACATGGTGTTGCTGTAAACACCAAACACTTTGGCTTCAAGAGCAAGAGAGAGCAACTTGAACTTACCAGGAATTTCTCCCAACTGGCTCCCTTTCATAGAACTGTAAGGTGATGTGAGGGCTGATGGCAAAGAAAATAAGTTAATATTCTTACCCATGGGCTCTACATCGTACAATACCAACCTATTGGACAAAATGTGTATGCAATACTGGCACAACTGAAAATTGGCATAGCCCACCACTCTTCATTGGATTTGAGTCATGCTCCATAGAGAGGAATTCATGCCTTTCACAAACCAAGGCTTCGAAGTATATGTCCAAAGACAGAAACTATGTTTTATTAATGATGATATTGTCAATCTGCCACCTAAATATTCATATCTATAATGATCAATTTTTCTACTCTCAACTTTGAAGAAAGAAGTCTCCTCTTGTAGTAGGTACTTGGTAATGCAGAGACTCATAACTGTTCAAGAAGTATTAAGAAAAAGTAACTGTGTAAAATTAGGGCAATTAAAATTTCATCATGACTGGGGGATGGTACCATGAGCCTCCTTTACCTCCATGAAGGTCTGTTGACAGTAAATGAAAGCTATGTCATTTTCTTATTTGTGTCCAGCAAATACTTTTCTTCAGTAGTTCAAAATTCATGCCCCGAGGGATTTCTTTCTTTCCTTTTTTATTGCTTTACTCTTTCTTTGTATAGTCCTTGCTCTGTTGGGAATTGCACTGTGGACCAGGCTGAACTCAAAAAAGATCCACATGTTTCTGACTCCACAGTGCTGAGATGAAAGGGATACACCACCAAGCCGAGTCTTAGAGATTTCTAAGCTGTTTTTGATAAGCCTATGATGTCACAGTCAGAGCCTATCTCTTTACAGTTTCTCACTTTCTTGCTACTTGTAAGGTTTCAGTCTTAGTGTAAAGATTATTGAAAGTGAACAAAAGATGAGACTGAATTAGAACATTCTCTTTCAAGCTGAAGTTGCATTGATGTTGGCAATTTCAGCAATAGGTAAAGGATTTATCAAATTCAATTTATTTGGTGGGCAAAATTTCCAATGAACAGAAGATATGGGGATTACATATGGTATCCCTTTACATGTTTTCTCAGAATTATGAAATTTGTGGTATACGGAACAATTAGAGGTCTTTGTCACATTTTTTGAAAAAATAATCAGCAGCATTTATTCCATTCATGTCATGCACTACTAACTCATTTCATTGCATTCATCCCTGCAGTGAAAACCCAACTAGCAGTTATTTTCCTTTGTCTCTGTTCCCAGGCTCTGTCAAGTACTAACTCATTTTCCAACCCCACTTATTTTTTTTTTTTTAAGATTTATTTATTTATTATTATTATGTGTACAGTATTCTCAGTATTCTGTCTGCATGTATGCCTGCGGCCAGAACAGGGTACCAGATATCATTACAGATGGTTGTGAGCCACCATGTGGTTGCTGGGAATCGAACTCAGGACCTTTGGAAGAGCAGGCAGTGCTCTTAACCGCTGAGCCATCTCTCCAGCCCCCCAACCCCACTTATTATAAATATTTTATTTAAAGAGAACAGAATACATGATGTATTGTTTCTGAATTTTCACTCAGCATATCTTCAAGTTTTATCCATTTTATTACATATATTAATATTTCATTTCTTTTTCATCTTTGGATAGTTATAATTCTGCTACTCATATTAACACACCCATTGTTTTTTTACTGTTTATTTATTAAAGATTTCTGTCTCTTCCCCGTCACTGCCTCCCATTTCCCTCCCCCTCCCCCAACCAAGTCCCCCTCCCTCATCAGCCCAAGGAGCTATCAGGGTTCCCTGCCCTGTGGGAAGTCCAAGGACCACCCACCTCCATCCACATCTAGTAAGGTAACACACCCATTGTTTTTTGAATACTTGGAAGCATTCTTAGTACTATTAGAATGCTAGGTCATGTGGCAACTTGAAATTTTACTTTCTAAGAGATTTTCAATCTTTTTTATCATAACACTTTTATTCTGCAGGTTTAAGGATTCTAGTTTCTTGGCATTATCACCAATATTTTGCTATTTTATATTTACTAATATGATTGCCCTTCTATAGAGTAGCAAGTGATATCCCATTGCCATTTTTATTTATCTTTTTATAATGACATTGTTCATCTTCCATTTGTATTTTTTTAAAGTTACTAGATTTTGTCCTTATTATGATTTATTTTACTTTCTTAAAGACAGGGTTTATGTATACCTGGCAGTCCTGGATTTCACTATGTAGACCAGGATGGTCTCAGACTCTTAGAAATCTTCTAGCCTCTGCCTCCTGAGTGCTGGGGGAAAAGGTATGCATCACATAGTCTGTCTTTATTATGAATTCTTAAATGCAGAACATTTTTTTTTGTTTTGTTCTTTGAGAAAAGATTTCACTATGAGCCTGGTGGTGGTGGCGCACGCCTTTAATCCCAGCACTTGGGAGGCAGAGGCAGGCTGATCTCTGTGAGTTCAAGGCCAGCTTGGTCTAGAAGAGCTAGTTCCAGGACAGGAACCAAAAAGCTATAGAGAAACCCTGTCTCAAAAATCAAAAAAAGAAAAGAAAAAGAAAAAATAAAATTTCACTATGTAATAGCCTTAGCTGTTGTGGAACTAGCTGTGTACACTAGGCTGGCCTTGAACTCACAGGTATCCACCTGCCTGTCCCCTGAATGTCAGGATTAAAGACATGTGGCACCACAACACGCAAAGATAAGTGACGTTATTATTGCATTTCCCAGGAGCTGGAGCCAAGGTAGTTCTTAAAGAGCCCTGGTGCCCTTTTAGAGGACTGGAGTTCGATTCCTAACACACACTGAAGAGATCACAACTATCTGAAAATCCAGCCTCGTGGAATCTTATGTCCTCTGCTGCATTCCCAGGCAACTGGCAAGCATGGAGTTCAGAGAAAGATTAGCAAAGCAACTCTTTACACATTGGACAAAGCACCCATACATGTGAAAAAAAATTCACACTGTTACTATGGTAAAATTTTTTAAAATATAAACATGGTGATATCTTCTAAGATTTAAAACTTCATAACAGGTTTTCACAAGTTTCTTATCTCTATGTTTCTATTTATTGTAGTTTGTCTTTTTGGTTGGACTTTCTTTGGACCCACAGCACCCAAACAATGACACAATGACGTATTATAAATTATGAAACCTTGACCTTTATGTTTGTTCCCAACTAGCTCTTATAACCTAAGTAACAGGTTTCTATTAACCTACATTTTGTCAACTGGCTCTTTACCTCTCTTCCATTTTGTACATCTGATGTCTCCCATGTCTTTTTGGCATCTGCTGCCACACCAGATTCATCCCAAGTTCCTTTCTCTCCTGAGAAGTTCTGCCCATTTTTTCCCACCTAGCCACTGGTCATTCAGCTCTTTATCAAACTAATCAGAAGGAACTTTGACAAAGACACATCTTCACAGTATACAAAAAATTATCCTGTAGCATATTATATATGCTGTTAGGCTTATAGGCAGAGAACACCTAAAAAAATGCTATGACACATTATGAGAATGGTGTTTTTCTCTCCAGTGCCAACTCTCTGATGTGTTTTAAGATTTGAAAGACAGATATAGGGTATGCTAGTCATTGTATTTGTTGTTTCTCTCTAGTATGAATGTTCTGATGGGCTTTGAGGTGGGAGTACCTAGTAAAAGATTTGTCACATTCCTTACAACTATATGGTCTCTCTCCAGTATGAATTCTCTGATGTGTTCTAAGATGTGACATGTCAATAAAGGATTTATTACATTCCTGACATTTGTGAGGTCTCTCTCCAGTGTGAACACTCTGATGTCTTCTAAGAGTCGAAATACGGAGAAAGGACATGTCACAGTCTTTGCATTTGTGAATTTTCTCTCCAGTATGAATTTTCTGATGTTTTCTGAGGTCCGAGCACGTAGTAAAACATTTGCCACATTCCTTACAACTGTAAGGTCTCTCTCCAGTGTGGACTCTCTGATGCGTTCTAAGATATGAGTTATGGGTAAAGGATTTCTCACATTCCCTACATTTGTAAAGTTTCTCTCCAGTATGAATTTTCTGATGTGCTCTAAGAGTTGAAAGTCGGGTAAAACATTTGTCACATTCTTCACATCTGTAAGGCTTCTCTCCAGTTTGTATTCTCTGATGTACAGTGAGGCTTGAGGCTGCACTGAAGTATTTCCCACATTTCCTAGATTGGTATGCTGTCTCTCCAGTGGAGAATTTTTGTTGCAAGAGACTGTAAGTAGAGGTGAAATAGTAATCATATTCTCCTTGCCTGTGTTCTGATCTTGCAGTGTAGAGTCTCTGATCATGAGTAATGTTGGGATACAAATTTAATGATTTCTCACAGACTTTAGATTTGCAAGGTTCTTCTCCAGTGTGCATGATGTCATGTCTATCTGGGTTTGATGAGTCAACAGAGTCATCCCTGTGATTACTGCATCTGTAGTTATTAGAGTTTTTTGTAGTTTCACTTGTTCTATAAAGTGCACATGTGGATGGGTCATGAAGCATTTTTCCAAGGTCATTATACTGAGAAGACTCCTTTTCTGTCTTCACTTGTTGATAGACAGGATCACAAATGCAACAGTTCTCTGAAAATGAATACAATTCAGATTAATAGGGCTTGATACAACACTAAACATTTGATAAATGGCTGTCTTCCTAAGTTCTTTCTAAAGATAAATGAATCAGAAACTAATTAGGCATTTATCTTCCATCGTAATTGAATGTATTCTCACAAAAACAGACAGACAGGCTCCAAGGGTCTGAGATATAGCAGATACCTCATCCTTATCGAAAATGTCTAATGGCAGAAGATGGATCAGGAAAGTGAGGCATAAGCAATTTGCTGTGGGACAGCGCTCATTGACTGATTATATTAAGAATACATGTCTCTATTTTTAAACATTTCATCTCAGAAGATTGCTGATGAATACTGTTAAGAAGGGCCAATTCCTTTAAATATTAAAGTCTTACTTAAAAATATCAAATGGTTTTTCTTTCTAGAAAAATATATTAGATTCTTTCAAATTAATGGATGGAAAGCTAGTATTCTGCCAGACAGCAGAGGCTCAGATCATTTGATGCAGGTTTGAAATGGACAGCTATTGCTTATTTCTACCTTTCCCGGTCTTAGCTTCACATACTACTGTGTTTCCTAACTTTCTTCATATGCTTATTTCCAAGTCTATTCAGCCCACCGACTTCTGAGAGGGTGTCTTTGTATTCTCCACTGGACAAAATATGTAATATGAAGACAGACATGCAAGGAAGGCAATTTCAGACTAATACTAATTCATGGATTCACATTAGGCTTATAATTTGTAAAATTATTCCAATCTGATATCAGCATAGTTAAATAAAATGCATTTTGTGCCCGCCGGTAATGGCACATGCTTTTACCACAGCACTTGGGAGGCAGAGGTAGGTGGATCTTTGTGAGTTCGAGGCCAGACTTATTTACAAGAGGTAGTTCTAGGACAGGCACCAAAGCTATAGAGAAACCGTGTCTCGAAATACAAAAAAACTAAAACAAAACAAAACCAAAAAATTACATTTTGTACTGATATTAAGTCACCATAAATCAGGTGCAATAAGACACAATACCTTGTAACAGTTACAACAGGCAGGATGCATCTTGGGACCAGAATACTCCACTAAGTTCAATGATGAGGCATTCTTTCAAATGGAATTGAATATAGCAAAAGCATTCTCAGCTCTTGCTTTCTCTTTCACTGGAAGCCATCACTGTTGTCCTGCTTATTCACAAGCCCACCCTGGTTTTGACTACTCTCTCTTCTCCACATTCCAGGGCAATCTCATTTGCTCAGGACAGGAGACCAGGCCTATCTTGCATACAATAAGCCACATGTTCTGTGAGGTAGCCAATGACCCATGCTAGAATTTTTAGAAAGAATAGAGACATCAAACAAAATATTGTGCTCTGTACATCAAGAGAACATAAAGTAGAAGAAACTAGAAATGATTTCCAATTGCTACTTCTTGCCAGAATCTTTTAGCATATTTAAGGAAAAATTTCAGATCGCCTATCCTGAGCTTTTTCTCACAAAACCATGAGAGTTATAACGATGGAGTTGAAGCTTTAAGATATATATGGAAATATATATGGAATTTATTTTGGAAACACAGTGAGGTTTACAAGACACCATTAACACGGAAATGAAATAAGAGTCAAATTCCATGAAAAAGTTATTTCTAGTACCAAACTTTCCTGCCTTCCATTGTTTCTAGGACAGCTTAACAGAGTTTAAAGGTCAGTATATACAAAGAATGATTTAGGAATTCTACAATAAAAATGCTCTCACCCACAAAAAGCAGGCTGCTGTAATTCTCCAACATCACATCAATGTACAAAGCCCTCTGAGCAGAGTCTAGGCATTCCCACTCTTCCTGGGAGAAGTCCACAGTCACATCCCTGAATGTCAATGGACCCTGAAACACAAAAGTACAGTTTGACCAGGTGATCCCATAAAGAGGCTTTCCTTGAGATAAGGAGACTTGAGGAAATTAGGGATGTAGATGAGTGAATACAATTACTCAAAGCAATGATTTCTGATATAGTCACACATTATAATGAATGTTCCAAGTCTTTGAAATCAAGATGACAAAGTAGTTTCACAAGCACATCCATGAAAAGAGACACACATTTAAGGTCTGGACACAGTTGTCTACTTGGTATGGATGCTGTGCTTATGTCCCATGGATTACAGTATATATGTCTCAGAAGGCAAATGGTGATGAGGAAATGTGCTAAAGTACCAACAGTGAATCAATCCTGTGCAGTTTTCAGTCTCACACGATTGCATTCCTAACATGCTCAGTTTGCATGTTTAAATTCCACCAACTCCATTCCATTAAAGAGAAAAGGAATGAATATGGAGGACAGAATTCACAATTGAATCTATAGGTAAAGAGCTGTTTTTCCCCCACAGTAACAACGAGTGTAACAGCAATGTATACTGTCAATTTTAACATTACAACATAAGTGGGATTACTTTTATCAGAATATCTGAGTTACTGGCAAGCCGATAGAAAAATGTACATCAGCCATATTTGATATAATCTAAAATTTTACTCAAGGATAGGCATAAGGCAACTAAAACAAATAATTTTAGAAGTTCTGGGGACTATTTCACCCACAAAGAGTTATAAAAATTGGGGTAAGTCCCAAACCACATCAAATAGTTTCTGAGTAGCAGCTAAGCATGTACATGTAAGTATAGTAACTATGGATACATTCAGAAGTGACATAGATTTCCTGAGAAAATGATTATACTAAGTTCTGTGAGAATTACAGCCACTGTTCAGTGCTGTGCAAATATAATAGAGCTCAAAGAATGGCTCAGGAGAAAACTTTAGCTACTGTATCTGAATTTTGTGGTTATCTGCATGCTCCCTTTTAGTACTTATGCTGTACTGCTTATCACACTTTAGGTTAGTAGTGTTCATGATTCTTCCTTTGTTTCTGTGGAAATAAAAAGTGTTAACATAATCTGTCTGAGTCATGAGTCAGGAATAGAAATACCAACCAGAGCCCTTTTCCTAAATCTCTACGTTAAAACACTGCAGGTTCATGGTAGGGGAGCCGAGCCATGACTCTCACAGGAACAGACTAGAGGAAAAGAATCATGAGGAAAGGTTCTGCATCAAATATGATGGGTTATGCACACCAATTAGTCAATGCCCTCCATTCCTGATGAATTCCACAATAATGACTCCCAACCAAAATGGCTGCACAGTGGGATCCTGTATTTTGTGTGTGTGTGGTGGCGGGGAGGTTAGAGAATAAAATATACTGATCTCTCAGGTTTAGGAAGCTACCACTGAACATCCTAATCAAGTAGGTGATGTGATCAGCAATTCTCCTGAGACAAACAGATATCAGGTGTCAACAAACACATGGACATGTCATCACTGTTGTGATATTAAACACCAAAGAGAAATATGGGTAGAGTACAATCTGAATCTACGCTCAAGAACATCAGTTTATGGCAACATCAACCCATGTTCTGCACTGTTGAGTGTGCTTACATTTTTAGTAGTAGGATCCAAGTTTTACACAGCATTAAAAATCAAGATATGTCTCTTTCAATTCCACACACTGCTAAGATGTTGTGACAGCTATTCCTTGTGATTCAATATGTGCTTTTCATAACCATGATTCAAGGAAATGTGACAGACCTCACCAATGGAGCCTACATAGCACAGGAGTCCTACACATTAATATATAAAGATATAGTTCGATACTCTAAGGCAATTGGGCTTCAATGCATATTTTGTTCATGCGTTAGAGTGGATATATTTTCAAAATCAAAGATCATAAGTTCATGTGGGATATTTATCCTCAAATAATTGGGGGAGAGTAAAACTGAGAAAAGTGCTATACAGGAGATGTAGACATATTGAGTTACAGTGTACAGGTGTAATCATAACAGAATACTAAGAGGCTCCAGAAAGAATACTGTAAAGCCATGCCCACTAAATATTTACTAATGGAGGCAAAAAGATAAATTAGAATAATATGGCCTTTTCACCAGATGGTGTAGGCACACCTGGATCCAAGTAGGTGAATGAAATTAGATTCTTATCTTTCATTTGTAAAAAAAAAAATCCATTAAAATGGATCAAAAAATCTTATTTGAAACAAGAAACAGAAACCTAGAGAACATAGGGAATATCCATGAGGATATTGGGATGGGCAAGGACTTCTCGATTAGAAAGAACAGCAACAGCATAGGATTTGGTTCCAGAGGATTAGCAAGTAACCCTTGTTGGTCATGAGCCCCCACTGGGCCATATCTGGCTTAGCTCCAGAGTTTTCACTCAGTCCCTAATCCATCATTTGTGTTAAAGATTTCTTTTGTTACCCTATGTTAATCTTATCTGAGAGGTTCCCATGGATAAAAAGCCTATGTAAAACTTGGTTTAGAGAAAACCAGAAAAACCCAAGTACCTCATCAATCAGGTATTTGCACCTGGCACTGTATTTTCAAAAACTTCATTCAGTTTTTGTTGACATATGAAAATCTACTAGCGAAAGTGGAAATATATGAAAAAATAGAGGCCAAGAGGCAAAGGGAAAGTGCTTCAGTTCACCAAGACTACGCCACCTGCGGCCACAGAGGCTAAGTTCATTCTCATGTCTCTAATTCGTCATTTCACCAATCTGCGTGATCCCACATACCTATTCTGCTACACACGTGACAATTAACTTTTTTTTTTTAATTTTATTCTTTTGTTTTTGGAGACAGGGTTTCTCTGTAGCTTTGGAGCCTCTCCTAGAACTAGCTCTTGTTGACCAGGCTGGCCTCAAACTCACAGAGATCCTCCTGCTTGTCTCCTGAGTGTTGAGATTAAAAGCATGTGCCACCACCGCCCAGTTTACAAGCGACAGTTAAGTGCAGTTATATTATACAGTGTCAAAAGGAAGGAAGGAAGCACATTTTCCCTCACATGCATAGTCTAGACACAGTATGTGTCTATGGAAACAGTGTACATGTGCACACAGTAGAACATGGAGAGAAGAGGACAAAGAACATTAACTATCAGGGTTCAGTTAGGACTGAATTGAGGTAGTGAACATAAGTTATGAAAAAGGATATAAAGCTAATTTCTTTTCCAGTTTAATTCTGTCGCAGCTTTTCTTTCTTTTTCATGATTCACAAGTTCACATAAATATATTCTGTAATGAAAATATAAAATCCCTTGTGAGGCCGCAGAGGTTCTGATTCCAATGACTAACTGCATAAAAGTACATTGAGTTGCATACTCTTTGGGTCTGGATATTTTCAGTGTGTAATTGTCTGCTTCTTTGTCTGCAAGGTTTTTCATAGTAATGTTAAAAAAGATAACCAGAAGCACAATTTGAAGGCTTCTAATGTCTCAAACAACAACATTCCTATAAAAAAAGGGGGGGGTGAGACATGAGCACTGACCTGGGGCCTGTTTACTGGAGAATCAGCCATTTCTGCTTGCTTCTCTTTTTTGAGTTTCTCTTTCAGGAACAATGAATAGATGGTTTGTTGGCCTTTTATATAAGGAGGCAAAAAGAAAAAGTTAATACTGAAAGTGGTTAAAGAAAAATGACCACTTGAACAGACCCAAGAAACACAATATGACCAGGTGTTTTATCAGTGATTCCCAAATCAGGAGAGCAGGGAATGACATTTGAAGCTTGCAGAGAAAAATCACTGTCAACCATATTGTTTTATCTAGAAAACTTCTACCTTAAAATTGATGGAGATCTAAGTGCAGTTCAAGATAATTACAAAGTAAAAGAATTAATACTGTTATGAAGACATGACTAGTGATGTCAATGAAAAGGACAGCATCACTCACATGCACACTCAAATAAAATTTTACTTGACTCCATTTTCAGTTCTTCTGTAGAACCAGTTCTCGTGCCTATAATAGGACAGTCCTGAGATCTTTCTCAGTGGACGTCTCCAGAATCATTTCTAGTGACACAGAATGTGGCACACTGATTTCATGTCCCACTCACACATTCACTTGAGTCCCTTGCAGTAATCACAATAGATTTAAACATCAGTGGGAAGCAGGAATGCCACACAATGGTACTCACATAGGAGGTTTAGTGGAAGAAGTGAGACAAAGGGCAGAGAAGGGGACAGAGAGAGGGGTCAGAGACTGGTCCCTGGGGATTAGAGTGGAGGAAGAGAAAGAACGAGAGAGGGAGAGAGACAGAGAGAAAGAGAGAGAGGAAAAAAATAGAGTGGCAGAGAGAAAGAGAGAAGAAAAAAAAGATATGGGAGGTGGGCAAGGCCCACCTTTTAAAGGGGAACTATAGGAGGGGCTCTTAGTGGCTGCAGATGGGGACCTAGCTTGTCAGGACACCAAGTATAGGCCAGTACATCTGAATACTAACAGACACCCCTTCACCAATCCCTCCAAATACCTCGATCCTGAACTACTGTCTCATCCCTCTTCACCTTCCTGGCCTCTTTGTCCCGCTGCACAGGAGAGCACATCTGGGTGATCAGTGAGCCCTGCACATGAGAAAGAGATTCTTCAGGAAGCACCTGGATTTCTAACACAGTACTGTGCTCAGTAGATGAAGAGAGGAATCTAGAAGTATTCCCCCAATTGTCAGGCAGGGTCAGAATACTGAAAACATTTAGGAATCATTTTCAGTTAGTGTGACTTGAATCCCACTTCCAGTCACAGGACAGTCAAATCTCAGCTGCAGAAATGGAACTGAAAGATTGGGATGAGAATATCACACACTAGTGACATAGACCCAACATGATGAAAGTCTCACAGCTCTCAAAGGCACAAGCGCTTTCAGAGTAAGAGAAAGACAGTCTGAAGGAGAGCACTCTGAGGAGGAGCAAGGGAGACTGCATGCAAGCAATTCTTACCCACAGCAATCAGACTGCTACAATCCTGCAACATCAAGTCTCTGCACAAAGCCCCCTGAGCAGGGTCCAGGCACTGCCCCTCCTCCTGGGAGAAAGTACACAGTCACACCACTGGCTGTCAACAGACCACGAAATAAAAAACAACAGTTTGAACAGTTGTTTCAGCGCACACCTTTAATCTTAGCACTAGGGAGACAGAGGAGGGTGGAACTCTGTGTTTTCCAGGCCAGCTTGGTCTGCTTGGTGAGTTTGGTCCAGATATAGCAACACATGAATTCAGGACTCAAACAGAGCAAACACAGGAATCAAAAAATAACAACTTGATTTTGAGCCCATGGACAGAATGTTTTTCTTTGACCAGGAAGACAAAGATTTCTCTAGACATTTTTTCTGATATAGATGAGTTATTGTAATTATTTGGAAGATGCTTTCTTTATTATGTTATACCATAATATTTTTTTCATTGCCTTTTTTTCCCCTCCTGATACAGGTTTAATCTGTGTAGATTCGGCTGTCCTTAAACTTTCTCAGTGGACCAGAATGGGAAGGAATTCTCAGCTCCCAAATGCTGGGATTAAATGGTTGTGCCACCACCACTACCACGTGGCTTATAACTCCTTTTCTAGCTGTGGAAATACTGTGATCTATAACATAAAATAGCATCCTGTCCTTTCCCGGCTCTAAGTTGCACATTAAGAACTCAGCAGAAAAACACACATTTCTTTTTTTGAGACAGGTCTCACCATGATACTCTGGCTGTCCTAGAACTCATTAGGTAAACTAAGCTGGCCTCAAACTCACTGAGAACCACCTGCCTCTGCCTTCCCAGAGGTGGGAATAATGGTGTAAGTCACCAAATCTTTCAAAGATTCTTTTAAAAGCAATCTATTTACATGACAAAGTGTCAGACGAAATTTTAACAATGGACAAAATGTTTTCTTTTAAATGTTAATGTTTTCAACCATATCCATGGAACTCTCAAAATAATATAATTTCAGATTAAATTCCTTATCCTGGTGTTCATTTCATAGCCAATATATAAAAGGTCTCTGTGAGTCAAAATCCCTAGTTCTATGTGCCATTCTCTTTAATGGCTAAGAGGTTTAGCAAGAAAGTTGGCGTGGAGGAATGTAAATTTGATGAGTTTTTTTTCCTTTCCAACACACAAAGAGAACCGACCGTCTTTGCAAACAAAATACATAAATTCAAATATTCTAGTAGGTCATTTTTATGAGATTATTTTGGCACTCAGATCATTGAAAAAATATCAGGATCGTTCGAGTTTAAGTGACCTAAAATTTACCGAAGACGGTAAGACACCACAGCCGACTTTCAGAGTCTTATGAGCAGCAGAGAAACTGCTTGCACCCCTGGTCCCTTCGCTCCGGGGTCCCAGCCCCGCGGCTCCTCTGAACCTCCTGGGAGGTTTCAGGGTTGCCGCGCTGCTGTCCGGTCACTTTCCCAAGACGCCTTTTGCTGCGACTGAGGCTCCGGAAATTTCAGATCCTGAAATACCTGCCAGGGTCTCCCTCACCCAGTTCCGTACCACGCAGCTTCCCACAGTGCAAGGCCCAGAGCACCAACAGAGAAGCAGCATTAGGCACTTCCGGCTTTGGCTCCTCAGTCCACTTCCGGGTCCTCTCCCTCACTAGTTTCCCAGCTTCTGTTTATGTCACTCCTCTAACTCCTCCCACTTGTCCATCATTCCACCTATACTCACCCAAATAAACTCTAGCACCCTCCCAACTGCTGTTCCTATTAGAGAGTCTCCGCCCATTGAACCGTCCCGCCCACTCCGTCTCAGGCCGCCTTCCACACAGCTCCAGCTGTCAAGCTGCCCTGAACCCGCTCTGCACAGCTCCCCACAAGCTTCCATGCTTGCTGCCAGAACTGGATCTAGGGAGACATTGCACTCAGGTACCTGACCCCCATTGTGAGTTCTGAAACCTTCAGTTAAAAGACAGGCAGCCTAACCTCGGCTTGACTCCCAGCCTCCAGGACTGAGCTCATTCTGCGCTCGTCTGCTCTCACCACTAGATAATGGTTTTGTGATTTTGGTAACTCAGAAACACGTTAGGTTTCTGTGACTCACGCTAAAGGTGCTTTTTAGATAAAATATAGAATTTTTTAAAAATGCAATGGTGAATTCAGAGAATATTGCGGTCTCTGATGCATAATAAAAGGAAGGTATTTGGTACCAGCCCTACAAAAGTCTCTGGGAACATTAAGGAAGAGGAGTTGAAAGGGAATTATCAGGGAAAGATGAGGAAAGGCTAATACATGCCATTCTCTAGACTCCATTTTCTAGATTGCTGTTGTAATCAGTAACCAACAGCAACTGTATTTACCTGCATTGACCTCACTCTAGACCACAATCAGTCTAGGAAAGGGAAAGGCTCACAGGACCAACTCTTTACCTCTCAAATGTTGGCTCTGGGTGGATTGTAGGAAAAGATTCACTGCCTTTAGCTGTCTGTAGTCCTCTGCTGAAAACACCAGACTCCAACACAGCTCCAAACCCACAGTCCACAGTCTCCCAGAAGTCCCTGGTTAATCACAGTTGGTCCCAAGCAAAATGAGTAGAGAGAAACAACGGGGAAATTTGTTGGAATTGTAGACCAGGATAGTACAGAGGTAGGAGTGTGAATGGGCAGTGTTTGAGGTGTGCATGCACAAACACAAACAGAATGCAGAATGTGAGCATATACATAATTGGTGTGTGAGTATAAAAAAGCTAATAATAGATTTTAATTTTTACAGCAGAGTTTCTTTGTGTAACCCTGGAACTAGCTTCTTTCTTTGTTTCTTTCTTTCTTTGTTTCTTTCTTTCTTTTTTCTTCCTTCCTTCCTTTTTCTTTTTCTTTTTCTTTTTTGAGACAGGTTTCTCTCTAGCTTTGGAGCCTTCCTGGAACTAGCTCTTGTAGACCAGGTTGGCCTCAAACTCTCAGAGATCCGCCTGCCTCTGCCTCCTGACTGCTGGGATTAAAGGCGTGCACCACCACTGCCTGGTGATCAGAATTTTTAAAAAATGGATGTATGAATCTGTAGTTTCTTTTCGGTTGTATCATTTTCTGGTGGTTTTACGTATTTATTTATCTCTCTATTTATGCATCATTTTTTCTCAAGATGGGGTTTCTCTGTGTAACAGCACTGGTTTGTCTGGAACTCACTTTGAGGTCAAGGCTGGTCTCAAACTCGCTGAGATCTACCCACCTCCACCTCCACAATACAGCGGTACTACGATGCTCATTTCATTATCTGGTGTAACATCACCTAGTATTTAGAGTCAAGAAGTCTTCCTTTC